AAAAAAAAAAAGGTTAACAAAGGGTTCACGGGATGTGCGGTCTGTCACCCGTTGCATTTTCTCGCACAACAGGTTTGTGAGTATTTTAGCAATAATTCCAGCTGGCTGTGTTTTAAAAAACAAGTGTGGTCAACTGTCTCGTTAGTGCAGTTAGTGCTTATCTATGTAATAAAATAGGGTGACCCACCCCCTAAGGGTAGCTGCAAATTGCACGACTCACCCCTTACACAAGGCTCAAAACCTCATGACCCACCCCCTCTCTGCTCCGGCCCACCCCCCCATACTTTTTGACCAGTCCCTGACTCGTCATTACTCAGATCTGGGTAGTGCTTCTGATAGGTTAAAGCAAATTTCATACACCGCCGACCAATCAGAAGCACTACCCAGATCTGTGAAGTGATGCCTCATCAGTATGGAATTTCTGCACTCGCTTCTCAGACGTCATTTCGTGGGGAAACTAGAGGTGGCATCGCAAAATGTCGGTGGTTTTCTCAAGCTATGACCATAAGAAATCAAACTTACATGCCAGTTGTTGTCCACATGGTTTCATCAACAAGATCTAAAGCAGCATGTGCAATAAATTGATTAAGGTGTCTGTGGTCATCTCTCTGAAGATTTTTTTTAAAAGGATATTCGTTAATTTTTATATTAAGGAAAAGAAACAGGATTTTATTACCAATTCTATACGTAATAAATAGTTTCATCTATTTATTATTGTTATCTAAACTTAAACAGAGCAATTCTTAAGAAAATGTGAGTTTCTTGTGTAGAAATGTCCTTTGTGATCACGCTAAACAACATGAGTGGTGAGTGACTGTGTAAAAAATTAGTTGAAATTGATTTTTGATTGCCAAGTCTTAAAAGTACCTTGTAGCTTTGGTCGCGACTTTGTGACGAATCCATAGTTTTCATGGGCGGATTGAACTCCATTTCGAAGACTGGATTATCGTAATGACCTACGATTGCAAAGTAATAATTTCCCAACATCGTTATTTGGCAGGATCAAGCAATCGGTCGATTTAAAACCCAAGTCATCAAGGGGAAGATTGTTTACCACCCCGCCATTGCTGATTTCTACCAGGCGTAACATCAATTGCGGAAGCTTGGGAAGGACCAATTACAAGATTTGTCTCCAGTTTCTTCTCGACTTCCTTAAACTGGGGTTATGAGTTTTGCTTTTCTTGCAAACATTTCGTGTTTTTTATTTACATGTTTAAGTTTTACCGGTAATAAGATGTTGTTCAATGGCAGAGCTAAATGTATTATTCTTCTATTCATCTTGCAAGGCAATCATCACGATAAATTTGCAATAGTACAATAAATTATTGTTTAAATATCATTATAGTTCACGAAGAAAATCTTATGTTATCTGGCGCTCATCTGATGTTTTTTTTTAAGTTAAAAATGCTGGAAAGTTTTCCTCTCTGGTAGTCTCCTTCGCAGCCGTTATTAGGGTCGTCACTCGTCACGCAACGCTCCTCCTAGCCTGAGTATCAGGCCTTCCTAAGGGGCTAGGGGAGAGGAGATTTTAGATGGGGGAGGGGGGAGGGGAGAAGAGAAAGCTCTCTCCCCTTTTCACTTCCATCTTTCCCCATTTCCCCCAGAAACGCCTGATACTCAGGCTACGCCTCCCCACTAGTGGGGAGGAGCGTTGCGTGACGAGTGACGACCCTAACAACGGCTGCGAAGGAGACTACGGGCGCGATCCATTCAACCAAAATTTCCGGAAATTTCGGTCCAAAACTCAATGGATCGGTTCGGTCCAACCGGAAAAGTTTCGAAAAAACGGGTCCACCTTTTGAGGTGTTCCACTTTTCCCGGTCGGACCGGTTGGAATTTTGGTTGAATGGATCGCGCCCTACCTCTCTGGTTGCTCTGAAAGGGAAATTGGGTTTCGAAGCATTGTGGGATTTTTCCTGGATTATTTTCTTAATCAATCCCACAGTCCATTGCGCCCTCATTTTTCCGCCAATGGCCTGCGCTGGAAAGAACCTTGTGGCGCGTAGAGAAATTTGTGCAAACTTCAAGTTTAATTTGCAAAATTTTGACGGATTATGGCTTGAATATCTGTGAAAAAACCTAAAGGACAAGAATTTGAAAGTTACTGGACAACTTCACAGGTGAGAGCAGTTATTTTTTTTGTATAAACTTTGAACAAATGCGCCGTTTTGTCAATCGGAAAGGTAAACGCTTCCAGTTTCCAAGCACTCGTAAACACAAGTTATAATCCCGCTGCTTATGGGTATCAATTAGGTCGCTAAAGCAATAACCTGAAAAGATAATTTTGTTTGATCAATTTTTTCAAATTTTCTTTGTTTCTCTTTCTATATTATCCAATTTCAGCGTACAAAACGTTGAAATTAAGAAAGTATTCGTACAGCAAGCGTCCACTTCCCTCTATCTCGATCACAAACCCGTTAATATGGCACGGGTTAGAAAACATTTGTTTGCTCTGCTCGCTTTCACTGCTGCAGTCCCAAAGAGGTAATTTTATTTCATTTGCAATCATGCAATCGTATCTGTTTTTTTTTTGCCCCTGCCTCGATACATTAAGCCCGGCTCTACTCTGGCTTCTTCTTATTAAAATCTGACCGAACAAAATGTCAAAAAACTAGAGATTAAGCTTTACATCAGGGAAAATAACGGTTTGCAAACTCTTATTTTATTTTAATGCCCACAGTATCTCATTCCTCCTTGACTGTAAGAACATGTTGCCCTTTTATTCTAGTTTAGATATTATACCGGTTGGGCAGTATTCTGATATTCCTGCGGACAGATGTCAATATTATATTTTTATGTAGATACACTGGAACCCACTAAATATGACCACTTCTGGGCCATGGAAATCCAGTAGTTTAAGAAATAGTAAGCGTGTAGCCTGCAACCATCAAGTTATGGATGCACGTTGGAGGTTGCTAGGCATGAAAGAAACGTAAGAGTCGCACAAGGTCATAGCCGAGTGCATCTCTAGCTTCTTGAGTGCTTAGCAAACCTGCCAAGTGCATCCATTACTTGATGGTTGCACAGCTGCAATGTTTACCATTTCTTTTATATCATAATCAAAAGAGAAAACATTTCCATTAGCCTTCGTCTGAGTCATCAGTACGCTTAAACAAATCATGCCTTTCAAAAACTTGCCTTTAAATTTCTTTTTCGCTGAAGCAGCCGCTCTCTGTCTTCTGGTAAATTGCAAAACGTTTTGTTATTTTGAATGGCATCTGTGTACTTGCTCTTAATATTATAGACTTGCTGCAAGTCGACCTCTTGGCGAGCAGAGTGAGCCTTTTTGGGCTGCGAAGCGGCTGACCGAGCAATGAAGTCGTGAGAGGTTGACTTGTCTCACTTGAGGAATTTACATTTGTGTTTCCCGCCAAACGTGGGGAGTAGTGTGACTGGCCTTTGGGGTTTCAGGTTGCATTTGCTAGTTCTAGACTTCACTAGCAGAATGTAGTATTTCCACTCCAACAAAAACAATCAAATGTGTGTGCCATTCTCCGACATCAAAAGAGCAAATTTATGTACTTCGTGTTAAAATTGTCACAAACAAAGATTAAAAGTGAGCTACTGTACATGTGACATCAATTTTCATTCTAATGAAAATAATTTTGTTGCTTCTAGGTACTGTACGCACTGTCATTATTAATGGCTGGAAGAACCCCACCAGAAGATACAAGCCGGCCATTACAGCCATTAAGGGGACCATTCTCAGAACCAAGGTCTCAGAGATGGTCTGCCAGACAGTACCCTGCCAGTCTGGACACAGATTTAAGTTTGGCTGCTGAGTTGCGCCGATCTGAAGAGCAGACTGGGCAAAGATCTCTGCCAAATAACCTGGTAATTTTTTTCCAATCATTTTGGTTGTTTGGGTATTAAGCTTTAAGCAGGGCTGTGATCAAGGGCCAGAGGCCAGGTATTTCCCCTCTGCCACTACGCTACTACACTACTACTTTAAGAGGTACAAGTAATAAAAGGAAAGTACAGAAAATAAAGAACTTTCTTGCTTTTCATAAACGACGAATGAACGTATATGAGCCGTTGAACTTTAGAATCACCGTTGGAACGAAGACTCAAACCCTCGGTAAAATCAACGAATAACGTTTAGTAAATAAATTACAGTGCGTCTGAGGGTTCCACAGGATTTTTTCAGATGACCAACTTTATTTTTATGCCTGGTGAAAATTTTTTTTTCATGATTCACAGTGCACGTGTAAGTTGCAGCACAGTTTTCATGTCCATACATTATGTACAAAAAATAATCTTACATGTAAGATGCAACATCACTTGGTCTGCAATATTATAAAACAAACAAACTAATCTTATAATAGTGTAAGAGGTCTGTTACCAACAAAAACATTTTTTGAAACTTTGATTGGTCTTTGCCAGTCTTCTAGCAATCTTAAAAATTAACCATGTTAGTGTCACATGTGTACATCAAAGATCTTGCCGTAACACAGACCTACAACTTAGGCACATGTACATGTAAGATACATTGTAGTATTATTAAAAAGTAATAATCTTACATGTGTCCATATTTTTTGCTGAATTGGTAGGGCTGGTCATCCAGAACAACTGCTGAGTCACCATCTAGCAAGGCAGATGCAGCCAAAAAGAAAGGCAAACACTTTGAACAAGTGAAACTGCCACCAAAGCAAAGCCTTAGCTCACCTACTTCAGGTGGTGCTGCTCCGTTTACTAGGAAACGGCATCATACACCCGCTACTATTCCAAGAAGACGTCTGCCACCGGGTACTCCTATTGCTGAGAGAATGGCAATGGAAAGTTTGAGGCAACAGCTGTCTTACGATGACAGCGAGGTCAGTACACCAATGTCCTCTATGCGGTGAGCTTGTAATAACCTTACTTGGCAGTTGTGGGTTGTGAATGTTATACATGTCACCATGCACTCGTTATGTACAATAACACTTTAAATTACTGTTAAAGAAGTAATTAAGTAAACTGTATTGGTTGTACATGTAAATGGTTAGTATTTTAAGGCTCTTTACTGCTTTGCCCATTGAATGGCTAACTGAAATGTGTAAATTGTTGAGAAATGATTTAGTCCAAAAATAGAAAGATTAAAAATGTTAATGAAAGGAAGAAAAACAAAATTGAATGTCCTGCATGTACATGTACATGGACGTTAAACAGTGGAGCAAGATTGTTAAATTGTGGAGTAAGATCATTAAATGGCTAAACTGGAAGCATTAATGGGTGAATAGAAAAAGCACTTTCATGTGTGCAAGCAGGGGATGAGGTTTGTCTTATGCACACAACCCGCCTATTTGTGTTGCTGGGGGAAGTGTATGTCATTAGAGAGTTTAAGCTTCACGTATACGGCAAAAGGCAAATGTTAGATTGAAGTCAAGAGAATGTCTCAAAATTGGAAATGATCAGATAAGAACAGCTCCAAACAATTCTTATGGATAAAAAAATTAATTGCGTGAAACTACTAATTTATGTGTAGAAATTATGAACTGTAAACAAGAAGTGAAAGGGAAACTTGGTCACGTGGTACAAATTTGGGTTTAACGTAAATGTGATGCTTAACCTCTCTATTGCATGACTGAGGGTGGAGGCTTAATGAGAACTTGCTGATTCTCAAAAAGCTAGATTAAAAGAAAAGAGTTATTCAATGTTGCAGTGCTTTAGTTCAGTGGAGGGGCTATTCAGGTACGTGTATCACCCTCAGGGCTGAAACAAGTTTGTTAGGTGTCCTGGGAATAGAGGTTGGGTAGGGGGCTGTTGATCATTAACCAACAAAGACAACATAACAAAAAATTATTATCATTAACTTATCTCTGTAACATAATATGTTGAATTCACACAAGTGTAGTACATCAATGAAAGTGAGATAGTTCAGTTATTTGAGGTGTCCCAAAGGTGAGGTTCCACTGTACAATATGATATAAATGTAATGTAAACAGGGTAGGAAAAAAGATTGAAATCCACTTTCCCAGTGGGCCAGTAAATTTCATTTTTTACTTAAATATTGCATGCTCAAAGGGAAAGGAAATGGTTGTAGGGTACTGTCTATAATAAGTTATAGATTATAACAAAGTTCATGAGATTACTAAACTTAAGTACTTACATGTATAATAAATAGGCCAGATACAGAGTAACTTCTGGATTTGAGCAATAAAGTTATTGTGATCAGAGGAGTAACATGAGCAAACAAATATGCACTTGGATTTTAACTTGATTCATGAATGCTTCCCACTAATTGTGTCACTTATCTTGCATTCTTCAGTTTTGAAATAGTTTCTGTCTGGAAATTATTAACTACCAAGCTGACACTTCCAGACTGACTCATGTGACCACTGAGGCTAATTTCACTTGTCCACTGGGCCACAAAACTGTAATTTATACTTGCCTATGATCAAAATTTACTTACCCCGGGCAATTGGACCTGAGTTTTTTCCTGCCCTTTGCAACCCAAGTTAGAAATATGTAATGTACATAATAAAAAATTGTAATAGAACACAGTTGTATTTCTAAATGGCATGCAGATGCATTGCAGTTGTAAACCAGTAGCGACATGTATGTACGAAGCATTTTCCACACAGGTCATTAAAAAGTATTCAAGATTACAGTCTGCTACAGCTCTCAGAATGAAAATTTTGTCGTTCTTACATAACTTTAAATTATTTTTTTAATTCTCTGTAACTGTAGCCTGTTCAGCAAAGTCCCAAATCCAGGACAACCAGACCTCAGAATCCACCCTCTAGTACTGCAAATAATGAGAGACCCCTAGCCACACAGTCAAGAGCGCCTGCATCTGCTAGTCTACCTGTATTGGAAATGAATGAGACTGAAACAGCAAGGCCTTCCACAGAGGTTGCTGTCAGCTCTGTCTCCAAGGTGAACTTTCTTTCACTTTGTATCTCCCTGGTTGCACTGTGCATCATGCAATAATTTCACGTGCAATATTTGCAATCTGGTATAATTTTTAAAATATATACATGTATGTAGGCCTATAATATGTGCATTTTGTTACATGAAAAATTAATGGTTATTGACCATGCTACAAGCATCCTCCTTGAGTATCTCTCTATGTACACTTCTCTGTGGTTCTTCTGCATGAGGATAAACATAATTCTTTCAAACCCTTTGCAGTTTCAACAGTCTTGAAAAAGATTAAACATCAAACTAGTCTTAATGCCCTTTGTCCTTGAAAACCATGAATCACATTTGTGGTAATACTACAAGAATTACATGTACATTCACACCTTTATATTATTATTAATTTTATAGGCAAATACGCAGTTACATGTAACATTTTTGTTATTAATTTTTTCTTGAAGGTCAACACATCCTTAATAATATCAAGGTTAAATCAAGTCAGGGTAAGTGTACACTGCTAAATACCTTTTGCAAGTAGAATTTTCTCTTGATGCCAATGTAAGTTGTCAAAAATTTAGTCAATGCTGAATCTTTTGCTTTCTCTCTTGTAAGACTCAACTCTGGATGTAATTCTTGCCAAATGCTTCATGATTCTTAATCCTTGATTCTTGACTCTTGATTGAAAATGTACTTTTGAGTTTTTCTGTGCTTTAGTTTGAACTTTAGCCCGTATTTTTCTCAAAATTCAAACTTTTTTTATGCATTGTGTGGTTTCTGGTATTCAGTCACTGACAAAGATTATTTCATCATTACAATGACGAAAGTGAATTTTGATAGTATGTAACTCATGTAAGATTTCATATAACGTCCTAAGCCATTCCCATGTCATAATTTGGCCGCTGAGTCAATTTGTGGGCAGGTATGCGTTGCATGACATTCGCAGGCAAAAGAGAGTGTAGCACTCGCTTGTGGGGTAGCCATAAACTTTTCCATTTTAGTACCCTGGTGTGGAAGTTAGTCAAGGGGTTAATCTTTTGTTTTCTCTCTTTCAAAGCCCAATTCTCATCGGTGACTGTTTCTCAATTCTTGAAAATCTATTCTCGCAGAAATTTAGAATCAAGAATTAATTGGGATTTGACACTTCTAACAGACTGTCAACTTACTTTGGACAATACTGAATCCTATAGAAGTACTGTAACTATATTTGTGGGGAACATTGTGGGGAATATGCTTCCTGATGTTGGGTTGGGAAGGTCCTAGATTTTTTTTATTATTTGATGTACATGTGGTCTGTTTCTCTGTTTTAAAATAATCTCATATTATAAATGATTAAAACCTGTATAAAGACTGAAATAATATTATTATGTGTGGCTATGATTTACATGTAGTATGCTTTGCAAGAAAACTGAAATGTTTTAAGTTTTGTTTTATTTTTAAATGGAAGGAAACAAATTAAAAAAAATAATGTCCTTACCCCTTTTTTTGGTTTAAGGACTTTCTTAGGCAAGCAACAGCTATGTTTGTCACTTTGCAAAGTAAAAGTGTTGGTGATCAACAGGTAAACTACTAGCTATTAAGATATTTTGTCCTTTAGTGTGTAATAATCATTGTCATTGTTAATTATAATTATTTTATGTATTTGTATTGTTGTGTATTTATTTTTACTAAGTGATTTCTGCCAATGAAAAAAGTAATGTTACATACGTAAATACTGTTCATTGTATGTTGGCTCCTGGTAAGTAATCTTCACTTTGTAAAGAATACCTTATCTGTGATAACTTGCAATCAGCTGCAACCAGGCAACTACATAAGCCTTTCTCCCAATGTACATGATGTAGAAATCATTTTGCAGACTCATCTTTGAAACAAGGCTTTGGTGACATCATTCAAGAAAAAAGCATTCACCAAAATGCTTTGGTGAACTTTCTTTGTAAACTGTTGGTATTTGAAGAATATAGTAATTTTCCTGACTATGAACCATATTTGTTTAAAGTCTGTACAGACTAGTGAACTGAGTGAGCAGACAACTAAGATTGCTAAGCTTATCAGACAGTTGAAACAGCAAGAGAGAGCTTATGTTGAACTGCTTGAGCGATCACTGGTGAGTAGACCTCTTTTGTTTACACACATAGTGCAAGGTTATATGTATCAATTACAGTATATTATATATGTTTTAATTGAAGGTATGACTCTTAATCACAGGGCTATCAATAAGGCCAGTAGCTGACCAAAACCGTCAGCTAGTTACCCATCCTTAGCCGGCTACTTTCATCCCTTCTACCATAATTGCTAACAAAAAATAAGCACCATCAAATAAAACTGTAAAGCATAATATGTTTCCCAGTTTTGAAAGACATTGAACGGATATTTAAACAGCTTATTATCTGTAAAACATTTGAACCATGTGATGTCTTGGAACACCTGGGAGATTTCGACTGCATAATGCCCCCAGTCTTGCGTGTATTCTGACGGAACAGCAAGGCGTCCATGGTGGAAAATACCTATTGAAAATCCCTGGAAACACGATTTCCCAAGACTCTAAATTTCAAAATGTTCTTAGATGCCTCCACCCTTAAGAACTTGTGCCTTTGGTGTGAGTTTCAAGGCCACCTACTCTGCATTATCAGCTTCAAGTTGCTACTTAAAACTTTTTGATAGCCCTGAATCATGATAATTTATTATTCTAGATGTCCTTATAATTATCGAGATGAAAAGCTTGATTTAGTTATAATTATAAAGGATGGCTTAAGGGAAGAAATGCAAAGAAATGTTCATATGTTAAGTTTTTTTTAGGCAGTGGAACATGATTCTACATTGGAAAACACACCATCTGTGAGTCAGCAGTCTTTAACAGAAGAGGAAAAGGTAAACACATTAAAACTATAGGTGATTGAAGACAGATATAAACCATTGTAGCCATCCATTAATACAGAACTGTAATTATCGTAAACCATGACTTCCTTTGTCTTGACTTTTACTTAATTTTTTTTATTCTATGTTATACTCTAAACTGCAAAGTATACAGCTGTATAACCTGAGAGCTGTGGTATTTATACATATACATGTACATGTAAATGTGACATGTGATGTGACATTACAATTTTGTAGATTTATTAAATTTACTTTTTCTTTTGCTTTTCATCAGCATGCATACATGTAAGAAATGCCATACATTGCATAGCTACTAATTCTATACTTGTCCATGGGGTACTTGACAATTTTCCTTTTGTGTGAACTTATTTTTAAGCAGAGTGAATCAGCATCCATACGAGATGAAGAGCTTCAAGGACTTAGACAACAACATGCACTGCTAAAGAAAATGCTTGAACAACAACAGCAGGTACATTGTTGTATTACTGACCACTGACATACCATTTGTTGTTTCCAATAAAGATGTCATTAATAGACCCTTCCTTAGGTTCCTCAAATTTTGACATGGACCAGTAACAAAAAACCCAGTCAACACTACTGGAAAGAAGGTCTTAAAATTAATAAGCTTACCAAGTTTGAAAGTGATATGTCTTAAACAAGCAAAGATATAGCTGTGAAAAGTCTCTCAAATTGACAGACGATTGTTTGTTGGGGGGGGGGGGGGGGGGGGGGGTTTTGTTCCCGCGTTTATGGGGGGTCTGGATGGTTTTTGGTTTGGGGGGCTTTATCTTTTTGTTTTTTTTGATAAAATTTTTTTAAGATTTTTTTTAAGTATTTTTTTTGAGAGATTTAAGAAAAAAAAGTTAAAACATTTATTTGTAATCAAGCAAAGATATAGCTGTGAAAAGTCTCTCAAATTGACAGACGATTATATGTTGGTGGGGGGGGGGGGGCGTGAGTTTGTGCCGCCATTGACAAGCTTCTGTAAGATTTGATGACTTTGAGGGGCTATATCTTTGTTAGTTTTGAACAAATCAATTTCAAACTTGGCAATTGTACTAATTTACAAGCACTCTTTCCAGTGGAGTCTATGTCAACTAGTCTATGTCAAAAGTTGAAAAAAAAAAATTTGAAAAGTCTTTTGAACCAGGTTATGTTTAGTTGGTAGGGCTTTATTCTGGTCTATTATGTTCATGTTGTGTGTCATATTTTTATGGTTTGCTGCATTGAAACAGGGTTAACTTGTTGATAAGTAATAATGAAAATGGAGGGTACTTAGGTGCCAATTGAGCAATTTGAGCAATCAGCAAATGAATGTGGGCAAAATGCCAATAAAGGGGGGTTACCATGATGACCTCCTACAGGTCACCTCCCCTTGGTACCTGTCACACTGATGTCTCAGTAGAGAATAAAGAACACAAAAGAACTTACCCTAGACCTGAACATAGGAGTTTTGAAGAACCAAGAGGCAGGTGGGAGGGAATGAACAAAATGCAAAAAGCAGCAAGGCAACTGCAAGCAAGCCACGAGGGAAAAACTACGTGGCAATGGCTTGAATGCACATGCGCAAAGCGATCACCTGCTGACAACAGGAAATCTCCCAGTTAACTATGATTGTTGTTGATGTCATCTGTCTTTAAAACATTTCAAAAGTTGCTGGGTGAAAACAATTTTAGTAGGGGGCATCAAACAGCTTGGAATTTCTCTTAGTTGTATTTTTTTTTTCTTTTTTGCTGTCATGAATGTACACGCCGGTCATGTTGATAGTACAGTTTGTAGCTAAGGAAAATGCCTGATCCCCATCTCTTAATGACAGCCCTGTCAAATAAGGAGTTGAATTTTGTTTATCTCTTTCATTTGTGTTTTTTGCCCGTTCAACCTACTATCACCTGCATTGTTAGTGTTCAGTTATTTCCATGAATGAAGATTGAATTGTCACTAGAATTTCTTATGTGAAGATTTATTTATTAGTATGTGTACTGTGGAATCCCTAATTTTGAAAGCACCTGGGGAAATTGACCCAATTTATTGGCAGGGAGGTTTGAGAAATCAGGGGTAAAATTACAAGGTTAGGTTTGTTTTAAATCATTGGGAATTTCTATGAACTGAGCGTTCAAGAACTCGAGATTCTATTGTATCTGATCAAAGAACCATTATCTTGTATGTCTGTTTTGATAGCTAAAGGAGCTTCAGAACCGTCAGGCCACCCTTTTGACCCTGCAGCGTGATGCAGAAATGCGTTTGGCAGAAGCTGAAGAAGAGGTAAGTCATTAAAAATTTTGGTGTGGTGCAGGTTTTAGTGTTAATAACAGCTTAATAATTTCATCATACACTATTGCGAGAGCAGTGCTACGATAATTTGCATTCATTCTTTGTAGTAAATAGAAATTATTACCAGATACATTATTTAAAATATTTCGAAACAGTCTTAAGGTACAGAAAAACGGGCAACAAAAAATGCGCAACTTGTCTCGCATCATTGCTTCAAAACGAGTTGAATAGCGATGTTGCGCATTTCACCACCCACATCAAACCTGTCTTACAATAAATCAGGTTGTCAACAGGTTTGAACATGGGTGGTAAAATGCGCAACATTGCTGTTCAACTCATTTTGCAGCAATGACTGATTGTTGCAAGACAAGTTGCACGTTTTTTGTTGTCCGTTTTTCCATACCTTTAGCAACATTATGTGAGAAGATTGACATGCAAGTTGGGTATCTTACTTGACTTTGTTTTTGTACTATAATCAAAGTTGAAACCAAGTGCAAGGTTTAAAAGGAAAGATAAAAATTACTAGACCAGTTTGAACACACCATACCAATGCACATTTTGTATCACTTATTTACGTACATGAAAATTTGCACTCCCAGCATAGTCAAAGGGATTAGAGGTAGGTATAAAGCACTGGGATACAACATACAGATTGTTTTCTTCCAAGGGTCGGCAAATCTCTGATGAAGTTGGAGCAGTAGGGGGTGACGATGCTGGAATAGGTAACAGCAGAAGAGTGGCTGTGCCTTCTCAAGCTTCTCAGCAAGAGGCATCTGCATCTCAAAGAACACTGGAGGTATTTTATACTGACTAATGTGGCATTAAGTTATAAGTTAAGGCATTAAGTATATAAGTTATCAGCATACACGATCCAACTTGGAGTAACATTGCCAAAAAAAATTTCTAGCATGCTTAACATAAAATAAATAGTTATAGTAGTAACTTTTATTTCTGTCAAAAGTTATTCATGATTTTCTACTTGTAGTACACAAATTATGTACACTGTACAGTAAAATCTGGTACCATAGGTAGACACTTTTGACTTTCAGGGCACGAAAACGTGTCTGCCCATGAAAGAGCAGTTTTTGAGTGCAAAGTCCAGGTGTTCCTGGATTATCAAGACATAGTGTATTTGACATGTCTCATAAAGTTTTGTTGCCCAAATTAATCAAGTAAAATTTGCCTGCACTTTGGGCATAGTATGGTGAACTTACTTTGTTATGGTTATTGGCCAGATTTGACATCTTAAAGGGTTGATTTTCAAATAAAAAAGTGTTTGTTTTCACTCTTCCTTATTAGCAGGGGGAGAAGTATAGAATCTCCCTTAAATTGGTGTTGTTTATTAGAATTTGGTGATGTTTATTGCAACTGTGACAGGGTGGTAGGACACAATGTTAACTGATGTTGATTCTCTTGTCTGACTTTTGTAGAGACCAAGTGTAAGTGGCTTAGATGACAGTAGGTTTACATCTGAAGAGCTGGAGCTTATGAATCTTCTTCGAAAGCATAAAGAGAGGGTAAAGCTTTCCCCTGACATTTTAGCACACATTTAGTATCCTGTATAGCCTTTGAACTGCAATTTATTGTCAGATTGTACATGTAATAGATACAGTAAATAACTTGTCTTGCTTTATTGTGTTAATTAACAATTGCAAGTTAACTGCATTACAAAGACATGTACAAAGTATAATATTATGTACAAGTACGATAAAACTAATGCTAAAAGGATGTGAATCACCTTATCAAAGACATCCCTTTTTTTAGTTACGAGGGGCAGTACTAGTGCAGCATAAAATCCATGTAAACTTCCAAAACTGAATGCCATTTTTGCGACTGCTTGAAGTAATTTTTTTCCCCAAATGAGGTATAGCTTTTTGAAAGGATTAAAGCATTTTTGCTTGGGCAGATTACTGATTTGGGAAACAATCTTTGCAGGTTATTATTTTTGTTTCATAATGACTGAAATTCAGACCTGGATGTTTGCCTTTACCTCTCCTACATTGTTTGTTTTCTTAGTGGAGAGCTGCTGATTCTGCGGACGAAAAGGAAAGAGATGAAAGAGAGAACCAAAGGACAAAGAGGACAAACCATGGTGCAGCAGTTCAAGTAATGATAGCAAACTTAGGGGAGAAAATCCTGACTTCCTGGTTGTCATGAATGGAAAACAATTCAGTTGCCTGTAACTGCCATGATCGTAGATCCACGTCCCCACTAACACTTGTCACATCATCAGTTGTGGACAACTTTTTGCCTAACAAGGTGTTTCAAACCATACCCAAATCAGAATAACAGGCCACAGAAAATGCAAAAATTTAAGTAAACTTGACTATAAAACTCCGATGAAAATGTTTCTCTGGTAGCCACCTGTACTTCCTTCAAACATACGTGGCTTAATTAATGCATTGATTGCTTTTCAATCAACACCGCCACACTATGCCAGTCAGAAGCTGTGTTTACGGGTAATTGGTTTTTGCAGAATTGTAGGGTTTCCTGTTCCCCTCCCCCCTCCCTTGTAATTATTTTTTTTCTTTTGGTCACTCAAACGTTCTTACAGTAACTTGAGTAAAAATGTTCGCTACACAGACTAAACATGCATAGGCTCTGTATGTTAGTTTAACCGGGACTAAAATTAAAGAAAATGCATACCTTCTTTTGTCTCTTAGGCCATCCATCCTGAAGTAAGCGCAGAGGCTGCAGATAACGAGGTTTGATACCCCAGCTTTTTTGATATTCAAGTGTTATTTTTTATGTAATTAAATGTGATGTTTTGTGATAACATTAATTTTTAGACTTAAAAAAAGGGAGATTAAAACAACTGAGACTCTGCTTAATGTATCAACACCCACATATATAAAGTAAAAACACTGTAAATGTTTGTCCTGCACAAGAACTGTAGTTGGTTGTCAGCTTGAAGTTGTAAGCTTGTGTCCTTTTTCAAATGAAATCTTGATTGTCCTTTTAGGAGGCAGCCTTGGCTCTTGCTAATGCCACACAAGAGAGACTAGAGCTTGAGAATAAATTAATGGTTTTAGAAGCAAAAAAAGAGCAGATGGACACCTTGTTAAGAGAGTTGCAGTCACTTAAAGAGGCACAACTAAGAAAAGGTACTTTCGTATTTTCAATTTACCTTGAGGTTTCTTTGCTTCTGGCAAATGTATATTATAGCAGTAGCTTATAGCAGTCAAGGTACAGAAGCAACAAACCAGCCCAATTAGGAACATTTTAACTTGGTTATTTTTCCATCTTATGCAGAAACAAATTATCATCTGTATCTGCATTAACTTAGCCTTAGGGTAGCATCGATATTTTGTAAAGTGGAGCTACTGTGTACGTTTCTTATTGATATTATTTGAAATTGCAATGTTTGAATTAACTATAGTTCTTTGTTTATCTCACTTAAGAATCTCTGGAAGCTGCAGGTGGAACTAGTTCAAGTGTAAATGTGTCTAAACAAGAAGAAGATGAGCCACTGGCCACAACTTCACAAAAACTGGATGACGAGCGTATTCTGGAGGCTTTAGAAGTTCACGAAAAACTTCAGTAAGAATGAGATTTGCTGTTCATAAATATTGATGCTAAAAATGTAATGCTTGCCATTAGGGACTTTGGTAAATTAATGTAACTTGCAAGTAGTCAAATAAATTATTCCTTGTTTGAAACTGTCAGGATGTTTATGTTTCATTGTCTACAGCAGGTTGTAGTTTCACTGTGCCAATGATATGTTCTCAAAGATCCATTCTGTAAAAAACATTAGGTGTTCGTGAGGAGATAAAAAATTATGTACATACCTTCCAAACAGTAACAACATTCATATGTCAGTATCTGTACAATGTTCCAATCATGGTTGAATAACATGTATGTTTCTTGCCGTCTTAATTTAAACAGAAAGCTACAAGATGTAAGGGATAGGTTAAAGCAGTTACGAGACTTGATAGGCCACTACCAGGTAATTAAAAAGATGTTTTTATTGGGCTTTTCCTTTGTTTTTGTGTGCCTGTTTGTTTAATTTTTTGTACTTTTTAACTCTTTAGAGTTTATGTTATTCCATGAACATTGACATTTCCCTGGATGTGTGTTAATTGAATTAAACATTGTGGATTGTACCTACCATTATAGACTGTTGTTTAGTGTCAAACCAACAGATGTAGAATGATGCAATATAACCCACCTGCAGTGTATTTGTTTAGATCGCACCCAATAGCTCTTTGCATCACATTTTGTGAATAACAAACTACCTAACAGTTGTTGGAATTACACTTTTCTGTCAAGAATGTTGCACAAGTTTGGTGTTAGTGGTTAAAAGTAGCGATACCTGTAACTATGGTGTTGACAATAACTTTGTCAATCTCAGATAAGACAAAACCTACCCTGAAAGTGTTGCCAAATGGCGATGATTGCTTGAAATGAAAAAGCAATGAATGATTTACCTGGCTCTCCAACCCACTCACACTTTGTTTTTGGAAAACTTATCCGATGTAAAAGACTGTTATGGAACAGAAGCAAAAAGGCAAAATACAAGAAGTAGAGGGCCAGAGAACTGGAAGAAATGAAAGTTATTAATGTAGTTTTACTGAAACTTGGTCCAACTGTAGGTTACAAGAATCCATTTTGATTTTGTTAGCGTATAATCAAATTCATATTACTTGTGAACTGTAAGTTTTGTCCTTCATTGTCACAGTGTGTGACATCAGACTATTGGATAACCTACATTTATGGATTGGGTAATGCCATTTTAGACACCCAATGTTCCTGTTTGTCATCAGAAATGTTCTCAACTAGGAAATGTTTTTTTTTGCATAATTATATTATATACATTTTTATTTAATTTATGTAGCCTTCACAAGGTGAGCTAAGCCAGATACCAGAGGGTGCCCCACAAACTCGCCCTACTATGGAACAGCTGAGCATTCCAGTTCAGAGCACTGAGGAGCCAGAAGAACTTGAAGGTGCAGTCGGTGGAGCTAGTGTACCTGTTGAACAGGACACAAGCAGCACTGACTGGTTATTAAGTTCTGATCTTGTCGATCCAGATCTTTTGGGGAAAATAAGGTGCAACTCTTTAAGAAATGTTCTTGTTCTCAATGGTAATTGTTCTAAAAAATTTTAAATCGGGAGATAGAAAGTTGAAAAAATTACAAGAAGACTAAGCCATAATGTGAACCACTCTAGATGAAATGGATGGACTCTTCAACCCCTTTCACAATTTTTCTTCTCTTTTTTATCTTCCTTTCTTTTCCCCCTTATCTGGTGTTCTGGAACTGTCAACGAGAAGGATCATAGTGTGATAAAAAAAATGACTTTAAAGGTGGTCACGGGCTAAAATTGGGAATTAAGCTGACCTCTCCTCCTCTGCATGCTAGATGTTAGGGTTGAGTATTACGCTAGTTATGATTTGACTTCTGTAAAGTTTTTTTTATGTTCGTGAAATGGCTACCAACAGGAAAAGAACCAACTGAAAATATTGTTGTCAAGGAACAACATATTTTAAATGCCCTAAGAACCCTAACTTTATATACATGTAGACACGAACACCCAAAAAATGTGCTGTAAAATGTGACTGAAAAAAGATACCTCACAATATCCAAGTATGTGATACTTTGTTCTTTTCAATATTCTCAGACAACTTCAAGAAGCAAGAGCAAGGGTTGCTCACCTATTCAAACAGACAAATGAAAACCTTCAGGTTGGTGACAATGGTGTGATCAGAAATAAATAATTATAAGCTTAAACAACTATATTTAAACTACAGAGAGTTACGCTATAATGAACCCCAATGAGTTGAAACATTAGTTTGCTACATTTTTCTACAAAGCAGGGTGCAAAGAAAAACATTTTTACAGCTTGCCCATTTGGGCAAGCTGAAGCTAACATTTACTAGCCCAAATATCATTTCAACTAGCCCAAAAAACGCTTTGATGAGCAGATTGATTTCACAGGTCTTCTGTAATTTGAATTCCTCAAAAAAATTCACTTGCCCATCGGGCAAGTTAATAACAGAATTCACTAACCCGATAGCAAATCCACTAGCCCAATAATTATTGGCCTTTACTCAAGCGATTATAGTAAGTGACAAATACCATAGTAGTATATGCTACAGATATTGCAGTATCACACACGTTTTATACATTTAAATTTACCATATTGCACGCAATTTACACGAGAAAATTGGGTGTCTTTGCAGTTGGTCCCATCAAGAGTAAACAATGAAGATGTTCAAACACAGACTACTGAAGAGGAATCTGAGCCAGAGTCACAGACAGATACTGACGTAGAGAGTGCTGCTAGTTCAAGTGTCAATGCTTTAGCTTGGCAGGATGATCCTGAATTTCAAGCCAAAGTCAAGTGAGTAATTCTTTAAATGCATTCTTTGAATAATGCGAATGGTTTAGGGATATTTTTTCACTATTTTAGGACAGGGAAACCACCTTGTTTTGTCGCATGTATCCATTTCTGTCTTTGTAATCGTTCTCTTCTGTTCTTCTGTAATTTAGGAAACTGAACTCTGCAAAGCAGAAACTAAAACAACTCCAGGAACTTGTGAAAAAGATACAACAGGTATTTGCTTTTTAAGGAGAGAATACATTTGATGACGTTAGGGTTATGTCAGTACTTAACAATAGAGACACAACGAAAGTACAATTTTAGTCCACCTGGTTTGGAATACTAGGTCCAATTGTAAATTGTTGTCCTGAGTCTTCCGATATTACAGTCTTGAATGCTAGTCTGTGACCAACTGTTGCCAACTTGTTTTTGGGAAACTATCAAGGAACTTAGTGTTTTTTGATGCTGCCATAGCAATTTTTGTAAATCTCACTTTAACATTGCTTTCTTGGCTAAGAAACTAGAAGTCCCACCGTAAGACCATCCCCAATGTATGCCAGTTGGTCTGTCGAGTGAACCAGTGACTTTCCTGACTGCAAGCAGAAGGCTGTATAGTCAATGTGTATCCTAAAATAACCTTCCAACTTTACGATTATAATTTAAAACCAATTCATACAGCGGTACCACCTGCAGTGCCAGCCTCCATGTTGATGTTATCAGTATTTGACTGTTTACTGCAATAAAGGAATCAAAACTGTGAAAAGCATAAAACTTTAAAATAAATATACTGGTGGTATTTCGGATGATGTCTGTAGTTCAATGTGTCAATGTTATACTTTGACCAATTTCGAAATGACTCAATCTAACATGCCACATGGTTAATTTCTAGATTGAATACTGTTTGGTGGTACACAATCATGTTACATCAATATGTTTTCTCTTTAGTTTCCAGACTCATCACCTGCTTTACCAGCAGAGCTAGCAGAATTAAGTTTTGATGATGAAGACTTTGATGATGAAGATGATGATGATGATGACGATGATGATGATGATGAGGATGATGATGACAGAGAGGGAGAAGATGAGGAGGAAAGAGGTGAAAGCAACAGATCTGAGCCTTCTGATGACAATGAAGGCGTCGACATTCAAAATGAAGAGGAGGAGGTTACTTCAGCTACTGAAGATGAGGAGGCTGGTGGAGATTCCACTTCATTGATCAGAAACGGGATGCTTCAGCTTGATGGTTGGTGTTTAGATGAAATAAAGGCTGCCAAAATGTTTTAAGACCTGCTAAAGTGGCAGTTTTTATCATAAATACTGATAAATTTTATTCTTTTCTTCAGCAGGAAGCGACCAAGAAGCAGTTTATCAGAGGTACTTGCGCAAACAAACTGAAGAGCTGGAGCAGCTGCAACAAGAAAGGCAGAGGTTACTGGAGATGCAGGAGGAGCTTACAAGAATGAGCCAACCCTCCAAACCCCACATTACAGTGGCAACCCAGGTAAAGATGGTGGAATTGTATTATAGTTACTAAATCAGTTCATGAAAGATAATGGTGATTAGTTCATTTAGATTGAGAAAAGGTCAAGTTCAACTTCTTCGTGTAAGGGAAGTCGTGTCTGATGGCCTGTGACTAGTGGACTTTTTGTTGTGATTAGAGAATTCTGTTCTTAACTTTCCTGATGGGTAAGAAAAGCCCTTGGAGGGAACTCTAGTCACAGAAGTACTGAAAGACAAATGTTTACATTCCAAATCAAGTCATGTGGATTGAAAGCTGCTTTTCATACTGGTCTAAGTGAAATTTTTACAGTTATTATTAAAATTAATGAAGCAAGTGATTACCAATTATACTATTTCACAGTTAAGGGCCTAGTACCATAGCCTTCAAGTGAATGCAAGGCTGAGGTTGACCTTGTTTTGATACAAACCTCCTTTGTTTTCTTATGGAAGTTACTAGTTAGCATAAAAACAACAAGAAAGTGTATACTTTCTTCTTTCCCAACATACTTTTCTTTCAGTTGAGGTCGGACAAAGGTATGTGTTGACATTTCACCGGATAATTAATCATTTACCACTAATTAATAAATAGATCTGAACCCTGCTCAACTTCTCCCATAAGTTCTTAAAAGTGGGTGAAGTGAGCTTCAATGCATGAGGTCACACAGTGACCGAGCGAGCGAAAAAGTCTCGAGGTTGACTTGTTTCACCTTAATGGATTTGAATCATATAAATTCATGTGGGAAAAAAGTGGTTGACATTATGCTGTGTCAGGAGTGGCGTGAAATATCACTCACTGTCTTACTGGTCAATTGTCATGATGTCACCGGTAGAGTTTTTGACTGGTGAATTTCAGACCAAACAGGTATGAAAAGTCCTTTAAAATGGCATAACCAACTAGGAAAAATAGTAAAGGACTTTTGGAAAGTCTATAATTTATCCTGCTCATCAAAATTAATTCAGGGCCAGTACATGCTAGCTACATCTTGTCTGAAGCGCTTGCTCTTGAACTTATTTTCTTTGCACACTGAACTTAAATGATAAATTTCATTGAAGCCAATGTCCAAGCTTAAAGTTTTTAACCAGAGAAACGTTTAATATTGCTTTAGATCTATTCTCCAGTCACATGAATAGCTTCGTAGTTCGTTAAATTGTACAAATTAATGAAGATTTTTCTCGCTCAAAATATTAGTGCATGTCATATACTTTGGAGACAAAAAGTTCGGTTTGATGGTGTTGTTGTTGACGTCCTTTAATTCGTTTTGTTACATTTTAGACCACACGAGCACAGGCTCAAAAGCCAGAGACGGGTGGATCTGTATTCAGGCATGATACTTTCACTATCAGTCGAGCAGATGGCTCCAAGAGACCAATTATTCATCGGCCCGTCAATAGAGAAATGTCAACTCAGACACCATTCTATGGAAGTGATCTGAGAGCTGCGAGATCTGTGGACTCAAACGAACCTCCAAGAGGTGAATTAGTTGGTTTTTTTTTTCTGTGTATTAGCCGGCAAGGCCTTTTGTTAAGAAATAAGATGATGAAAATGTGGCAGTGGATTTTAAGCCTGGTGAATACATAAGAAAAATGTTATTCAGTTAGTGACACAGGCAGCTTGCCAGTTGGAGGAAAACATCCGAGTACTCCCAAAAGAAGAGTATCAGATCATTGTATTGTTAAACTTTTATTGCATGTCTACACACACTAGAACATTTGCTTAAACAAGAGTACGACATAGACACTAAAACATGCAATATCAACTTGTAGGAACCTTCATTTGTAAGCTTGGAAAATAGCTTACAAAGGTTGTAGCACAGCCTTGACCAGAGGTGGGCTTTGATTAAAAATTTTGACTAAACTCAAATCCGTTATGACAAAACCCTCTGTTATAACATTGTAATTCTTGTCTGCAGGGGTGTGGCACTTTACGTGTATAAAAACGATCATTGTCAATGTCAAGAACAGTGGTACGCAATAATTAGTTGCGTGTTTGCAGTGACACTTTTGCATAATAATTGTTTTTCTAGCTCGTCCTAGTGCATTAGTTTGGTCAGAACTAAGACGCCAAAGGGAACTGCACGAAGAAAAGCTTAAGAAAAGAAAACAAAGGTTCTTAGAGAAGCGAAAGAAGGCTGGCTTGGATGATGTGTCAGAAGGTGGCACCTACTCAGTTCGAAGCGGCAGGAGTGGGGATATAGATGAAGGGTTTGGAGTGAGTATGATGAGTGCTGATATCACTACAGCCACATGGGGAGGTTCCACCCAACCTAGCAGTACACAGAATGACTCTGCAGTGTCAGCTGATGACTCTGATGATGAAAATCAGGGAGGAGAGGTACGGTCTCATAAGAACATGAATGTAATGACATATATTCACGTCAGACGAGCAAATTTCTATACCAAGCCTCGCTTTGAAATATTAAAGTTGCGAAGTTTTGCATAAATGAATTCTAACGGCAGAATACCCTCTCACAAAGAGTTCAAAGACGGAGAATTTTGATCACAATCGAGGCTCAGTTGGTGGAATTTATAAGTCTGATGTAAACTTGCGTAAGGGTCATTGCAAAAGAACAGTGAATCGTAACATTCTTTTTTTTTTTTACTGCAAGGTATATTGCTGCCATCCTTCCTCAAAAGGCAGTTTGTAGAGCTTACAATAAAAAAGAACTTTCGTTAACAAACAACAAAATAACAAATACTGCTTTAAGTAAGAATGAAAGTGGGATTTTGTCCGCAGACTGGAAGTAGAGTTGTAGTAGAATTACACCCATGTATCTGTGTGAAAACCTCTTTTCACAATGATTGCTTATTGCAGAAACTGCAAACAACGACTGATTTTTTGGGGATGAACTCATTCAGATTCTAAAGTGAATGGAGGGAAGAATGGTGTGCAATCATCCAATTCACAGAGTTTTAAACAGGCCATCTTCTTGCGTGAATTTGATTGCCCGTGTGAAAATATAATGTTCAGTTCTTTTAGTCAGCTTTTTTGGTTAATTGCCTCTGCGAGTGATAGGCTCAGGGTTGAAGTACGTTTCAAGGTTTTCTTTGAGACAGGTTGTGATCCACTGCTTTGTAGTGCATCAACAGAAGTCATAGCTATATTACTTCCTGTTTCCTTTTACTGCAGATTGCAGTTGAAGTAGAAGATGATTTTCCTGAAGGAATTGTACAAGCAGAAGAAGAAGAGGAAGAGCAGCTAGAAGCAGGAGTGGCTTTCTCTGGCGGTGCTGAGGCTGTGTTCCGGAGCAGGGAACGAGTGCCTCGCATGTCTGCTTTCAGAGGCAGTGTAGACAGTACCTCCCAAACAAACAGAAGCAAAAAGAGGAAGCTTGATGGTACAATCTTATCAGGTCAGTGTCACAATTGGTTGGTGGTCTTGAACAGTTCCTTGCGGTCATGTATTTTTTAACAAACATTTCCTAAGTGCTTTTGTTGTAACTCTTGAGCTGTCATTCTGTGCCCTTAAAAATTGCTTTTTATTGACTTGATCAAACCAGCTCGGAGTGAGTTTTGAAATCTGTACCATAATTGCTTAGCTATAAAAACCCAACACCCTTTTTGTCAGTAGTTTGAAATAATAACCCAAGCAGATGTGTGATTTTGGTTCCCAAAGTGCTCTAAAAAATCTAACATTTTGTTCCCCCTTATACGAGAGGAACATGTACGAAAGTACAAGTACATGTAGACAGTTATCTTTTTATTTTTTAAACACAGCGCATAATAATGGCAGTCCCTTTTCTAATGTATTTTTGGCTTCAGATTCATACAAGACCTGTTGCACCCTCGTAAATTTGAATTGTCATTTGTTGGGTTGCGTTTTCTGTGAACTTTTCCTTGTTTGTCTCACACAGGCGGAGCCCGTAAAAGAGACCGAGAAAGAGGCCTAACATTTGAAGATTGGCCCAGAACTTTCTACTTCGACAGGAATTCCAGAGGAAGGATAAGGCAAGAGGTATAGTCAAGGTTTTATCAGTACGAACGTTCAACTGCGTTTTCAGACAGTGGAACTCTAAATCTGTTTGTAAGGTGTTTAGTTTAAATAGATAAATAGTGTTCTGTGCCCAATTCACACCAGCTAAACAATTTTGTTTAATTAAACCAGGTTATATAAAATGAAAAGCAGACAGGTTGAAGCACAGGTTTTTACACAGGATTCAAATGAAATTCAACATCCTTCACATGCTTTGTAATTAGCTGTAAATTTGCAATAAACTAAAGTCAGTAAGCCGCTTTTATAAGGAAAACAATTTTAAACCGTGTTAAACTAAACAGCTTTTAAACATGTTATAGCTTTGGTGTGAATGGGGCTCCAGTGGGGGCTGTGAGCTGCTTTGATGCTGTTGACAACAAACAATGTTTAGATGTGAGAGTTGGCCAAGTGTAAACACCCTAGAACTTAGCTTTTTTATACACCTGACCGTTTAAACTCTGCTCTAATAACCTATCCGTTTAGTTTATTGACTTTAACGTAAGGCCAAAGGTAGTATTTCTTATCATGATATTCTATGGAAATGGCTGTTTTCTAAAGAATGCTTATTGGGTGAAGGGATTTGCAGACCATAAGCTATGTTTGTCATATAGACTAATGTACTATCCTCGTTCCTGGATGGCGAAGTTTGACACCAACTACCGTTCATAAGCAGCCCCACCCCACGCCACTCATCATCCCCCGCCCTCCGCGGTCAAAGGCCTCTCCATTGGTCTCTCTTGCTACCTATAAACAAAAGAATACATCCGTTTATTAACCCTGCTAAAATCCCTTACGAAGATGTATAAAACAGCAGTTTACGGTATGTTGAGGGGTTTTCTGTCTAACTGAAGAGCTGTTTTTTGTTTCAAGAATTTTACTCCTGCTGAACAACTCATCAAAGATCGTGAACAGGAACAGTTTAACATGGAGCGTCAGGTTTGGGAGCAGCATTGTGAACGTCTCCACCAGGAAGTAGCCAACCTTACCACCCTGTGTAATGGCCTTCTTAGAGACCAACAGATGCTGGTGTCAACCGTGATTAGTCGAAATGTCACAAGCGGTCCGTCTCCGAGCTCGACTGGTTTCCAGAACATTTCCAGCTCGGGGAGTGGTCTCGGTAAGCTTTTTCTTACAGTAGTCATTATAGAGCGTTTTCACATGACGTCATGGTACCATACTGACCATGTTGGTGTTCCAAACCTATCCTGTGGGAATTGAACTCGTCTGTTTTTTGTTGCAATGAATTATCTTAGATGCTGGCCACATGAGTAAAAACGCTCTGTATTCAGCCTTAAATCGAAATTTACTTAAAGCAAAGGTCATCACGCTGGAAAAAGGGATAACCATCTTTTCATTTGGTGACTATTGTTTCGAAAAGTGCACAGTTAAAGTCAGTAGCACTCCTATATATGTGTGTGTAAAGGTAAAGAAAAGCTACTTAATAGAGGCCATTTTGTTACACAAACTCTGATTTATTTATTTGGTGTTCTGGTTGATTTTTCAGTACTCTAGCCCGCCTCAGGCTTGGTTTTCAATTGAATTTAACTCATTTAATTTTGAAAATGTCTTTTGGCCGAAATGTTTATCCTTTCAGTGAAGTTTGGTCTTTAAAGTTTCTTAGCTTTTAAAGCTGCTGTGTGTTGTATCTTGTGCCCACTCTCATGAAATGTTCTTTTCAGGAGCCGTTTTAATTCATCTGTGCGAGTTTCTTTTTTTGTTTGCATTCACATTACAGGCAGTAACCCATTTGAGCAGTATCAGCAAAGGCAGCAAGAGGCGTATCAAGGGCTCCAAAGCTTCTTTGAACAACAGCGCTACATGCAACAGCAGCACCATATACTTCAAAGCCTCAATCAGTGTTACTCCCAACTTCAGCAACAGCATCAAGACATGGCAGTTCTTCAACAGCAATTCCAGCAACTCTTTTCATACAACCCCTCTTCGGCTCTCAGTGAAAACTACCCCTC